GTTGTTGCTCTTCACACTACTACAGCTCCGTCTGTCTAGTTCCCCCACCTTCTTCATCTCGGACTTGAGCATCAGCATCCGCCTCTTCAGCAAGCCACTGTCGAACGCGTAGTCCACGACTGATTTCTCCCCCACGAAGACGTGCGTGTTGTCAGGACTCGAGTAGCTCCACTCAGTCTGGAGCCACTCGGACGCTTGGACTTCCACCCCGCCGCCCGAAGCTGCCGCCATAAGTGGCCCAAAGTCAATATCGTGTGTAGCGGCAGCCGGCGCGGCGGGCTTCTCGCGTCGACTATTCCGTATGCGCACCATCCAGCAAAATGTCGAATGAGTGGCTGTTCACGACGTGGCTGATCCCCTTCCCCTGGCCTGGTTTTGACTTGTAGCAAAATGACCTCTCGCAGATTATATTTTTGTGGTAACTTGATTAAAGTATTGAAAAAACTTTTCCGAGCCATTTGCTAATGACCTTCGTGCAATGTCGTAATATACGACGTAACAAAAATAATATGTCGTCTTATACGACGTTCGTAAGCAAGGTGTTAAGACGTCCGTTTGTTTAAACATTTTTTACCGAGCGCCTATTCCCCCTTTTAAAGACAGTCAAAAGACACCTACGGGTGCGGTTTTGACTTGAATTTATTAAGACGTTCAATCGGGCAAAGTCCACTAATCGGTTAATTGCCCATAATGAACCGTTCTGACTTTTTACCTGCGTCTGCACGCAGAGTCCACTATTCGGTCGCTGACAGTAGTCATTGGTAACTTGGTTTTGCTCCTTCAAAAGACAATGGACACTTTAGACACTGTTTAAACATGTCCATTGTAAAGACGTTGTATCTTTCCACTGCCAACACTGGCTCATAATCTATACTGTAGTACATGCTAACGGAGAGGGACTGTTGATTGCGGCTTTAGTAGATGCTTTATCTCCTGCTATGCGGGTTTTCTTGACAATATTCGTCACCATCGGTCGTTTAGAATTCTGACGTAGCTCGATCTTGCTAGACAGGCATTAGTGCTCGAATGTAATCATGAAAGACGCTGGCATTTTTACTCGTTTCGTCCAGTCCTGTCATTATTGTTAAACATGTCAAGATTTGATATTTGTACTACGTGCCTGAATCGACAAATGTATCCAATTCAGCGTAGCTTCATGCTACCTTTACACCTCATATTTTGGCTCTAAGTGCTATTGACATGTTAGCTCAGAAAACTAGGCACTTGCTTACATAATACATGTAACATGCGAATGTACTAACATGTCAGCGTTAGAGGGTAGCCTAGCTCTATCGTTACAATCGCTCATGCCGGACCGGAACTGGTTTAGCTGTGCTATCGTCGTTAACTGAGCTGAAGTTAAGTCATCAGTTTTGCCCTAGCAGCAGGGCATTATCTAATATCACATCGCCTGATTGGGAAGTCGTATTGTAATATGCTAAGTCAGCCGTTGGAAACCCTAAACATAGTAAAAATTAAAGGACAACATTTTTTGCACCCTTTTTTGTTGCTGTTGCTACATTACCACTTTTGATTATACTAGCCTGTCTCTCAAACGAACTTTAGCATAAAAAGATTTATTCTATCCAAGTAGAAGCTGATCTGATGACTTCCCCGGTCCTCAGCACGTGGACGCATTTTCAGGCATCAAAAGTGTATCCGGTAGAGCTACACCAACAGTCCGATCAAGTACTATCTAAAGTGCCGTTAAACGGGCAAAAATGCTTGTGTAAGAGATCATACTTCAAATCAAGCTGTATATTTATTGCTCTGAACAAAAATCGTATTATATTATTGTTTTGTGGGGGGTGTCTCTGACCCGGACTTTATGGATACACACTGACCGCGGGGACCCTGCGTAAATGACGGATTCTAAAGTTTTATTCAATCAAGCCGCGAATGTACCACCATTTCTGCTGGCTCGAATGCGGAACACCAATCTGTCACTGCAACAAGCACTAAAATCAAACATACATTAGCTCGCTCACCTTACATCACTGTATCCCGTTGCGACTGACCGACGAACAACAATTTCAAGAAACGCATCGGGGCAAGTGCTGAATGACTCCTCGGCCATCTTCGCCAGGCTGATCGAAAGAGCTATCATAGTCGAAGGCTAAAGTGTCATATTGTCATAATCTGTGACGGGATCCCACAGCACCTTGCGCTTGAGGAAGTCGGTTTTCGAGTATATACAAGCTCTCAAGTAATAGCAGCTCACAGGTCCCTTGTCAAAGGGAGCGAAGTCACCAGTTAAAGGTAAGTTGCAAACGGAATGTATTTGTAGGTAGGCTTGTATATACAAACAATAAGCCACCAATATTAAAGCTATGCAGTTAGCCAATGGTTGGCCTCTGGAGTACATGGTACCATGCACCAGGTATCATGAAGTGTGACGGGTCACACTTCAGGTTACTAGGGGTTTACTGGGTACGTACCCGTTTCATTATCCGCGGTGCTGGACATTAACAAAATGGAATCAGACAGAATTCCCCACACTAGTCCATTCGCGCATTGTATTGTGGTTGCTGTTACATATCCCACAGTACTCGATTCCTCATCGTGTGAGCGCTGGGCCGTTGCACAGAATTGCCTCGGTTCGCTCGACTGCTCTTTAATCTACTACGGCGGATACGACATGTCCGTACTCGACACGGGAGTGTGACGATGCTAGGCGCGCATTCACAGGTAGCGTCAGCTCATTTGCAACTGAGTCTGCATTCACACTTATCCAGTTCAGCGTTTTCCACTTACTCAGTTTTGTTGCCTCCACAATGTAAAAAACTTCTTCATCAGCGTTTTCGCGTCGTACAGCCCCATATACTAGAAGTAGCTCCCTTTTGCCCGAAACCAATCGGTTAATTTTTGGCGGCTGTTGAAGAATCTTTGCCCTCAGCGCCGTACCACTTCGTGCCAAATTGCTTCTCCAACAAACGGACTGCACACCCACCACATAGACCACCTTGCCACTCTCTCCACAATTGAACGACACTGGAAGTTCCGCTGCTCCATCCGTACTGCAGGGTGATAATTCCACCTTCGTTATAAAGTGCTGGCTCAGGCGCTGAAACGGGTTCGCCAGCTGACTTGTCCACAGATACCAAATTTACATTAAGCAGGATAGATCAATCTCCAGGGAGCTTAATACTTTCATGACATCAGCTAATTTTCCTTCAACAGATTGAAGTGTCGTACGCTCGCCTACCACGTTAAGCTTTAGGTCTTGATGCATATCGTTCGACTTGGCGTTCGAGTCGCTCACAGTTCGCTGCAGTTGCTGCTCAGTTGGATCAACGGTTGTAGCTAGTACATTGGTCGCCTCCTGCTCAAAGGTTTGAAAGCTATTGCTTTTAATCATCGCGTTATTCTAAATGGGATGACCAGGCGTCATACCCTTTCAATGGAGCCGCGTCATGGAGCACTACAACCCGAGCGTATTACGTTTATAGCTGTTAATCACTTTACGGGATATCATTTTTCTGATCGCGTGAGGTCTGGAATCGGCTCACCATCAACATGCCAACGCCACAGCTGGTAGAAGCCCAGTAGACCATAAGGACATATTTCTATGTACCTATTCCGCACGCGCGATTCAACTTCAGTTCGGTCAACTTGGTGCGTCTTCCCTTGCCTCATTACCAAAACTAGCACGCGACATTAGCTGTAGCCCTCGATCGCTTGGCGAACAGGACGTAGGGCAGCTAATTTCATTCGCCATGCAGACTCACCGAGCATAAGAGCGTTGTGTGAGAGCAAAACGCGAGAAGCTATCCCCGCATCTCTTGATGCCGTCCCAAAGTACTTCGCAATACGCTGGATCTTCTCTGTTGTGGTATATCCGTCGCGCAAGGTGTCCGACCGACTTTTATCGATTGTTTTGCGCCGAGCATTGTTTTCTTCAACCATAGTTATCGCTAATAAAGCAGTCACGGAGTCGTCTCGGGGCGATGGGTAGCTATTTATCTTCATTCGCTTTTGTTGGCGTCGCAGGTTCTCAAGCGTAGCCACGTAGCTGTTAGCTGTAGCCTTCCCACCCCCCCTGCCATTGCTTGCCTTACGGCGCTTCTCACGTTCGATCACCCACTCTTTGGGAAGTAGATGCATTTTGGATTCTGTGACAGTGTACCAGTGAGGTTATTAAATGTTGAACCTTTGTCATCGCATCACTTTCTAAACTCTGTTTAGTTACTCATGTATGCCCTTTTAGTATTATTGGGCCTGACAGCAGTCGCTCTAGTGTACGCGCCCAGCACCGACCCCTCGCGTGCTACGGCTATCCTCGATTCTTCCGCCATGGCAAATATTCCGTTTGCGGCTATGCAGGAAACTCGACAAGTGGTGGTCCACTCTTCTCCACTGTTTATCCTTTTTGACCAATTGATAGACTTAAGACAGGATGTTAATAAACATTGTTATTAAACCAATCGGAGAACTGATAAGTCGTCTTACGCCCCTTCATTTGCCAAAGACGGCTGGGACGACCCCCTATCGATAATTGACTAAATCACGTTTAATTTTAAGTATTTTATTTTGGTATTAGATATTTCGTAGAACTTGAAGCGTACGGTATGTGGGTCCAAAATGAATGGAGCCCCTCTACTTGATTTTGGTCGTAATGTTTACCGGGTTTGCTACGTAATTGGGCCTTGTATATAAAATTAAACACACATTCGTAAATTTGAGTATTTTGACAATCGCTTAGAACCCTCTACAGCTTCTAAAGTGAGATTCGCCGGAGATGTGGCTCGTAAGAACCAATCTTCCTTTCCAGACCCGACATGTTATTTGTGATGATCTCACCCCATGCAAAACTACAAAAAAAATCATCTGCCTATATAAATCTTATTTGTAAGCTCGATTTTTCTCTGAAACTCAGAATAGTGAATGTGACCATAAATATTATTCTGTTTGAGTATCGGCATTGTTGCAAGATGAGCAAAACGGATTCATCGTCCATCTCCCACAATCGGTTATTGCCTACGCATGCGGTGTATTGCATTGCTCATTCTTGTCTAGCGAGTTTGGCCTACACCATCACTTGTTCCCCGACGACGCTGGTTAGGCTTAGCCGCGGCTGAAATTTCAGCTCACTATTCACGGAGAGCGCGTGATGAGGCTGCTAAGCAGCCGAACGTCGCTACTGGGTAGGCTTTGCTATATATCACGAAAGCCTTCAGAAACGCGCGGTCACATTAAGTGCGGCTTTTAAGCATTCAGATTGTGTGGTGTCGATGATAGGGTCCTTTCGGGGTGGTCTCTCAGTGCACCATCGACATATCGACTTACGTATCACCATCCACTGCGCTGCATAA